GTTTTCTCGTTCTTTCGAAATTTGCTTCTTGCTTTTTTAACGACACAACGTCACAAAGGACTCTTTTACTATGCTTGACTTTATCCCGTGCCAACAACGTTAGAAACAGACATCACAACAGGACAGAAAGCAGCCATGTAGTGTAGAGCGTGTGACCAGACACAAACAAAATGTTCTACAATCTGGAAAATGTTCTGATTCCTGATCTCTATCGAATAAAAAAGGAATTTGATCTGTAAGTATAACATCATTGTAAGCTTTTAGAATTATAACCCGATTGGTTGTATGACTCTGTAAACATATGAAAAGTGATGAAAATAAACACAGAAAAGCCATTAGGACGCAAAAAATTAATAGAGTGTTATTGTAATGTGTAAGCTTTCTATATAGAACTAACACAATGTATTGTATGCTACTGTCAGCATAACAGAAAACTGTATTGTAAGCTTCCTATGTAGTAATCCCGTCATAGAGTAGACAGAACAAAAGATCAAAAAAAAAATATGAAAACAACACGTTATTAATTTCACGGCGTCCGGAGCGCTTTTCTGGATTTAACTTCATCAGGAACTCTCAAAGCCGAATATTTGAAAGCCGAGGATGTATAAGGACCGAAACAGTTGAAGAGCTATATAACCAAAAAGTATCGAAAAATAGCCAAATCTATCTAAGGTCAACTTTGCCTGAGGGAGTTGAAACCTTAGTTTCTTTATAATTTTTAAATTTATAAACGGACAATTTTAGAAAGGTTTTTTATTAATCATGTCAGTTCCGAAGTACACAACGTGTTGAAATGGAAATAGGATAATCGCGGACAGATCTTTACTACTTTTTTAGTACATGTTTATTGTATTGTTACACCACTGTTAGGCCCAGGTTAGGGGAAGGGTATGGCGCCAGCAAATTTGTTTAACCCCGCTACATTCTGTTTGTGAATGTTCCAAGTCAGGAGCCTGTAATTCAATGGTTGTCGGTCATATTTATTTTTCGTTTATTGTTTTGTACATAAATCAGACCGTTAGTTTTCTCGTTTGAATTGTTTTACATTTTACATTTCTAGGCCTTTTGTAGCTGACTACGCAGTATGGGGTTTTCTCATTGATGAACCATAAATGAACCCCAACCCTGAGGTACACGCACCCCTGCAATTAAAGAAGGTTCAGTTTTCATTTACTTCGAACATAGAATAAACAAAAAACTGCAGGGGCGTAGCTAACCGGAGGCATGACAGCACGTGCATCCACGTCGTTTTCACCAAAAAAAAAAAAACAGAGAGAGAGAGAGAGGGGGGGGGGGGCAAAGTTAACTTGTAGGAATTAGTCTTTCTATGAATGCATTTTAAAAACTACACAAAGAATACGAGCAAGAGGAATACACATGCAGCGAAATTTTGAATCCTGTAAGACATGTATGTGTACGATAAATACATAACCTGGTGTAAACATGGCGGAACTTTTTATATTTCGGACATTGTTTATAAAAGAAAAAAAACAGCTACATAGTTGTCGGTACCACCATCATAACGTATACTCGCCTTGAGTGCAAACAAACAACATAATCCCTTTTAAAAAAAACTTGAAAATTATTATTTTTCGCTTCTCCCCAAAGCACACATCTTACTAGAACGAAGACTCTTCAACTCGTATCGATCCGGGAATAATGACTGATACCTTGTGAACTAGTTCAAAATTGACCAAGTATGTAGGTCTTGACAACACGAATACTTCATTTTCACAACACGTAAACGTATTCCCGTCCTGGTGTGCATGTAATATTTGCTACTAGACATTAATAACCATTCGATCAATCAATAGTTTCCGTACTCTAATAGATGAGAAGTTGGAACTGCTGTTATTATAAAGAAAGTACACATTTTCCAGTACATGTATTACATTTTTATTCATTCTACAAAAAACATCTTGTATATAGATTCGATAATTCGAAGTCGTTTCTATATGGACCGGCTATACGAATAATTGATTGTAAAAGCATTTAAATAAATTGTTAATTCTAACTCGTTTTACTGGACTATTTGGTCATTCAATTTTATAATGAATTTTCTGTCCGAGTCGGACACTTAACTGCTGATTCTTGTTCGAAAGAAACACCAATCTTTTAATACACGTATCTTCACTGTTATCATCTTGATATTGCCATACAACATGTCGAATGCAATAATGCTGGATAATTAACAAACGCAGATCATGAAAAGATCGTGATCAAAGTACCATTCCCTATGAAAAATTTCATTAATTTCAACTTCGAGAATTTCTAACTGCGTAAAATAAGAAATTCCTATCTCTCTCTTGTAGAGTTTACCCACGGAATTTTTAAACATCTAAATCCATATGTTCAGCAAAAAATTGGAGAATATGTCCACCAAGTATTTGGTATCCAAAGATGATTATTCTTACAGAAACTCCACATATAGTATTGTGTTTTGTTTATTGTTTGTTTTTTTTATACATCTACTTTGCTCAATACAAACAGCATATGGAACAAATCTCCATGATTTTAAAAAGCTCTCACAAAAAGCGTACAAAAAAAAACGCAAACGGCAATGTTTAGTCTTCATTCGACTCGAAGTTAAACAAATTAGTTGACCAAAAAACCACAACAAAAATGTACAAGTTTTATTACGGTTGAGATTGTTTTGAAACGCTTTAAATTCGGATCTTCCGGGGGGCTTCGCCCCCCTGGTCCCCTACCAGGGCTTTGCCCTGGACCTACTGGGGGCCTTAGACGGCCCCCAGACCCCTCGCCCTTTAGTTTGTGATTCCACTTCATTAGGAAGGTAGCTACGCCCATGAAAAGATCTACATTCAATATATGTAGAAAAAAAAACATGAAGATAAGATATCATAAGACATATGACAACTACTGGCGAAATTCTCGAGTTTGTATAAATGACTGACTTCCATGCAGCTATATATTGGGTATAACTAATGAAAGATCGGAGGTCAAACGTCAATGAGACAGAAACCCAATGACATACAAAAAAAACAAAAGACAACTAAAAGTTTTTACTTTCTGAAATACAACTGGCATTTCGTAATATAATCTTCCAAATTATTTCAGTATTGATATTCTAGAATGGTATACTCGGCTTCTATTAGAACATGTAACAAAACCTGGTCATCTACATGGACTGCCCTTGTCACTGTATGTGTTGAAAGATATGCCTGGTATGAAGGAACGGTTGAGAGAATCACGTATGTAAAATATCATTTTTCTTGCAAATGAACATGTAATTACATAAATAGTTTTTATATTCTAAGAAAAAGTTTTTCCTTCAATGACTATGTAGCACAAAATTCTTTAATGGCACATCCTCCATCCGCCTTTTGTTGGATGTATTTCTATTTGTATCCATCTGATGAGTTAACTAAAGCCTTTTTCAACTCATTTTTATAGTTTGTTCTTATGTTGTACTGTTACACCACTGTCCCAGGTTAGGGGGAGGGTTGGCGCCTTCAAACCAGTTTAACCCCGCCACATTCTGTATGTGCCTGTCCCAAGTCAGGAACCTGTAATTCAGTGGTTGTCGTTTGTTGCTGTGTTTCATATTTGTTTTTCGTTCATTATTTTGTACATAAATTAGGCCGTTAGTTTTCTCGTTTGAATTGTTTTACATTTGTCATTTCGGGGCCTTTTATTACTGACTATGCGGTATGGGCTTTGCTCATTGTTGAAGGCCGTACGGTGATACTTTTTATGATACACAATTTAAAGAAAAGGGGACATTTTTAACGGCTTTAAACTTCTATCTCCCCCCGAATAACTGCATGTCGATTACGCGAGGGAAAGACACAGCCTTTATTTTTAACTGTACGACCTGTGCTATTAACAATTTATAATTTTATTTTACGACTAGGAATTCCTGAGATTATAGACATTATTTCCTGTTTATGTGACGTAGCATGCGCTGTTCACTTAAACAATGAAATAGAAGATGTACATCTGTGTAAACCGCAACAACAGAAAAAATCGTCGTAAGTTAATAAATTGTTTAAGAATAGTCATAAGCAGAACGCAATACAAGTAATGAAGTATTTGTACTTTTACCACACTCTTCAATCACTACGATATACAAATCGACACAAGCAAAATTTGTTTGTAGAACTTTGGGTTTTTTTTTTTTGTAATAATAATATATATTATATATATATATATTTAGTCTAGCACCTTATTTTGCCACATTTCAAAGGTCATTCAAAAGTCCATCCAGACCGATAAAACCGTGAAATCAAATTATCTATAACACAAGAACAAAAGAATTAAAAACAAAAATCTTCGAGATGCAAATCAGTGATAGTAACGCATAAATCTGACGTCAGTCCATAATTGTTCTTACGTAGATTATTTTTTTAGAATCAACTGACAATATGATAAACTTATAATTCAACTCTTAATTTGTAACTTATATATATATATATATATATGGATGCACTTTTCAAATTGGGGTTCGAACGTGCGCTTCAATCCGTGCATCTTATCACTTTATCCAATCTAATTAAAATATAGATCTCTGACTTGGTTATTCTCATATATGTGCGAACATGCGAGTTAAGATAGATCTGAATTTTATCAGATTGCACTCCAGCACGACTGCTGACGCTTTCTTGATAATTCTTGTCTATACATGCCTACAAACTGTATTGCTGTCTCATTGTGCTTCTTTCATTTATAAAATATGCAGTGGAGAATTTTAGTACTGTTATGTTTAAACTTTCAATTCATGTCCCTCTTTCTCTACGTGGAATGTAACAAATGTAACCTGTACCATGAATGCGCGCATTGCCAAATGTAATGATTTTTACGCGCGAATATGATGGTAATGTCATGAATGTGCGCAAATGTAATGCATCGATTTAAAGTTTCGACAGCGAATTATTCCTCAAAACCTATATCCGTATTTTCATGTTCACAACCGTTACACTCAAAATTTACGAACACAAAAAAAAAATTCTATTAAACATTTGTACTGTTTTTAGGTTGGAAGGAACATTTCTTAACGGTCAGAATAAGAATAAATCAAATCTACTGAAAATGATAAAGAACCATACTGATCTTTTCCCCAAACTTCTGTGTGCCAAGGTGGTAAGTAGATATAAGAAGATGTGGTAAGTGTTCGTTTACCATTATACATACTGATCTTTTTCCCAAAATTCTGTGTGCCAAGGTGGTAAGTGTTCGTTTACCATTATACATACTGATTTTTTTCCCAAACTTCTGTGTGCCAAGGTGGTAAGTGTTCGTTTACCATTATACATACTGATCTTTTTCCCAAACTTCTGTGTGCCAAGGTGGTAAGTGTTCGTTTACCATTATACATACTGATCTTTTTCCCAAACTTCTGTGTGCCAAGGTGGAAAGTGTTCGTTTACCATTATACATACTGATCTTTTCCCCAAAATTCTGTGTGCCAAGGTGGTAAGTGTTCGTTTACCATTATACATACTGATCCTCTCCCCAAACTTCTGTGTGCCAAGGTGGTAAGTGTTCGTTTACCATTATACATACTGATCTTTTTCCCAAAATTCTGTGTGCCAAGGTGGTAAGTGTTCGTTTACCATTATACATACTGATCTTTTTCCCAAACTTCTGTGTGCCAAGGTGGTAAGTGTTCGTTTACCATTATACATACTGATCTTTTTCCCAAAATTCTGTGTGCCAAGGTGGTAAGTGTTCGTTTACCATTATACATACTGATCTTTTTCCCAAACTTCTGTGTGCCAAGGTGGTAAGTGTTCGTTTACCATTTTACATACTGATCTTTTTCCCAAAATTCTGTGTGCCAAGGTGGTAAGTGTTTGTTTACCATTATACATACTGATCTTTTTCCCAAACGTCTGTGTGCCAAGGTGGTAAGTGATCGCTTACCATTATACATACTGATCTTTTCCCCAAACTTCTGTGTGCCAAGGTGGTAAGTGTTCGCTTACCATTATACATACTGATCTTTTCCCCAAACTTCTGTGTGCCAAGGTGGTAAGTGTTCGTTTACCATTATACATACTGATCTTTTTCCCAAACTTCTGTGTGCCAAGGTGGTAAGTGTTCCTTTACCATTATACATACTGGTCTTTTTCCCAAACTTCTGTGTGCCAAGGTGGTAAGTGTTCCTTTACCATTATACATACTGATCTTTTTCCCAAACTTCTGTGTGCCAAGGTGGTAAGTGTTCGTTTACCATTATACATACTGATCCTCTCCCCAAACTTCTGTGTGCCAAGGTGGTAAGTGTTCGTTTACCATTATACATACTGATCTTTTTCCCAAACTTATGTGTGCCAAGGTGGTAAGTGTTCGTTTACCATTATACATACTGATCTTTTTCCCAAACTTCTGTGTGCCAAGGTGGTAAGTGTTCGTTTACCATTATACATACTGATCTTTTCCCCAAACTTCTGTGTGCCAAGGTGGTAAGTGTTCGTTTACCATTATACATACTGATTTTTTTTCCCAAACTTCTGTGTGCCAAGGTGGTAAGTGTTCGTTTACCATTATACATACTGATCTTTTTCCCAAAAGTCTGTGTGCCAAGGTGGTAAGTGTTCATTTCCATTATACATACTGATCTTTTTCCGAAACTTCTGTGTGCCAAGGTGGTAAGTGTTCGTTTACCATTATACATACTGATCCTCTCTCCAAACTTCTGTGTGCCAAGGTGGTAAGTGTTCGTTTACCATCATACATACTGATCTTTTCCCCAAACTTCTGTGTGCCAAGGTGGTAAGTGTTCGTTTACCATTATACATACTGATCTTTTTCCCAAACTTCTGTGTGCCAAGGTGGTAAGTGTTCGTTTACCATTATACATTCTGATCTTTTCCCCAAACTTCTGTGTGCCAAGGTGGTAAGTGTTCGTTTACCATTATACATATTGATCTTTTCCCCAAACTCTGTGTGCCAAGGTGGTAAGTGTTCGTTTACCATTATACATTCTGATCTTTTCCCCAAACTTCTGTGTGCCAAGGTGGTAAGTGTTCGTTTACCATTATACATACTGATCTTTTCCCCAAACTTCTGTGTGCCAAGGTGGTAAGTGTTCGTTTACCATTATACATACTGATCTTTTTCCCAAACTTCTGTGTGCCAAGGTGGTAAGTGTTCGTTTACCATTATACATACTGATCTTTTTCCCAAACTTCTGTGTGCCAAGGTGGTATGTGTTTGTTTACCATTATACATACTGATCTTTTTCCCAAACGTCTGTGTGCCAAGGTGGTAAGTGTTCGTTTACCATTATACATACTGATCTTTTTCCCAAACTTCTGTGTGCCAAGGTGGTAAGTGTTCGTTTACCATTATACATACTGATCTTTTTCCCAAACTTCTGTGTGCCAAGGTGGTATGTGTTTGTTTACCATTATACATACTGATCTTTTTCCCAAACTTCTGTGTGCCAAGGTGGTAAGTGTTCGTTTACCATTATACATACTGATCTTTTTCCAAAACGTCTGTGTGCCAAGGTGGTAAGTGTTCGTTTACCATTATACATACTGATCTTTTTCCCAAACTTCTGTGTGCCAAGGTGGTAAGTGTTCCTTTACCATTATACATACTGATCTTTTTCCCAAACTTCTGTGTGCCAAGGTGGTAAGTGTTCCTTTACCATTATACATACTGATCTTTTTCCCAAACTTCTGTGTGCCAAGGTGGTATGTGTTTGTTTACCATTATACATACTGATCTTTTTCCCAAACTTCTGTGTGCCAAGGTGGTAAGTGGTCGTTTACCATTATACATACAAAAACTATAGTCATTTACTAAGAACCAACAGGAAGAACTAATCATGACTAAACAAGTTGGAGGATAAATATTATGAGACAGCAACTTTGAGATAAAAAACAGCAATAAAAGCGCTGTTCCTTTGACTTTTGTGTTTTTACTGTGCATGAACTGACTTTGTGTAATGGATGGATACCCCATATGCTTTCTTTTCTATTATTGTCAGTTTGCATTGTCGCTTCACTTATGCATCACCAAATTGATCTTTATTTTCGTTATTTTTTCTTTGTTATCTCGCTGTTTATTTGAATTAGTGGTTTTATTTTCTTTCACTTTGTTTCATCAATCTGTGACGCCTTCCTTTGCTCGATACTGATACTTATGATCTGTTGTTCATGTTTAAAATTTGCTCTCATCATACATGTATATGTAGAATAGAGAATGGAAACGGGGAATGTGTCAAAGAGACAACAACCCGACCAAAGAGCAGAAAAAACAGCTCACGGCGACCAATGGGCCTAGATAAATCACGCACCCGGAGGCGGGCTTCAGCTAGCCTCTAAACACTTATGTATATATACTAGTTCAGCGAAATGGACACCACACTAAACTTCGAAGCAAACAAATGAACCAAAATTTTAAAAAAAACACACACACACAGACTAACAAAGGCTAGAGGTTTCTGACTTGGGACAGGAGCAAAAATGCATCGGGGTTAAACATGTTTTGAAAGATCTCAACCCTCCCCTTATACCTCCAGCCAATGTGGAATAAAACACACAGCAGAACGAAGAGTAAATACCGGTTTAAAAGAAGTCCGAGTCCAATGTTGAAATAGACAACAGAAAAAACTAATGAAAATGACAATGATCAACATATAGAAAGAAAGGACTACTAGCAGTTACTGACATACCAGCTCCAGACTTCGAGTAAACTGAACGAAAGATTATATCCTCATCATGTGAGAATCAAACACAATCCCTTCATGTCATCATACATTATAGTTTTATACGAGAAAAGAATATAACCCGTATCATGATGCCAACAACTGGTTTTAAAATAAATGTGGTTTTTTGTTCCGTTGCAAAGACCCTACGAGTGATCAATATTAATTCCAAAAATGTCATCTTTAATGTCTTGGCAACAGTATTGTAAATATTTATCTTGTGAATAAGTCAGTTTAAGGTTTGGTTAGCTTTTGAGGTAAATGACGACATTTTTGTGCTTTTTTATAGAATATTACCATAAAAGATGGAATGTGAAATACCTGAACGTATAAGATGTGTATTGTTCATGTAAAGAGATGACTTACATGTAATATCAGTCATGACAACTTGTGTCTAATCCTTTTGATTGGTTATTGGGAAAAAATATTATTAAACTATTGAACCAATAAGTTTAATCTCTATTTTTTTACCACAGAAATTTGGCGGTGTACGGAGGGAGTTGGATTTATGTGAGGAAGGTATACTAACTCTCGGAAATAGTGAAGACCCTGGATTAAACGTGAACAAAGCAGTAGAAGAAAGATTTCTCGCCAAAAAATTAAAAACATTGAAATCAAAAGACAGCAAAGAATTGAAGAATATGGAGAAAGTTGTGTCGGAGTTTGAAGAGTTAGGCGGTGAAATATCGAAGGTTCGTATAGACTATCGGGTTTTCCACACATGGTTAGGTGGTGAAATATCGAACGTTCGTATAGACTATCGGGTTTTCCACACATGGTTAGGTGGTGAAAAATCGAACGTTTGTATAGACTATCGGGTTTTCCACACATGGTTAGGTGGTGGAGCCGTGAGCCACATTGTAAAATCTTTTTTGGCGAGTGAGCGCATCGAAAAAGCAAAAAAACTTCACATACTGTCGAGCGGTTGTAATTATACGATATCTAAACACAGAAATCCCGATAATTTGTTAATCGTGTCTTTCATTATCGTCTTTTTCTCCTTCCTCACACCGGGTGTCCCGATCCGAAACCAGGGAGGGGTCCGAATCCCGGGGAGCAATTAATGAAAAAAAGTTTGTAACGCTGGGGAAGTAAAATCTGGATCCAATTACCTAGGAAGAATTTCATCACATTTCCATACACCACTGTCTCGCTCCGCTCACTCTGATTTAGGCATTGAGATATAATACAATGAAAAATGCACAATAGTGATCTATAGCTTTATACATAAAGAGAGATAACTCTATAATTATAGTTGACAGTTGATGGTTCAAACTTGCTGTTTAAAAGAAAACGAATATGGACATTTATAGATAACTCTTAAAATACGCGAAAGTCATCTGTTGATTGAAAGCCTACTTACAATTTAAGTATAATCAAAGAGAGGCGATAAATCCCTCAAGGACATTATGGTATATGTCTTTTTATTTATGAAAAAAATGTTATTAAGATCCTTTGAAAGAAAAAGGAATACGGTAAACTGAATATTTATTAACAGGGAATAAAAAGAAATATAACTTTTACGTGTAATTGTTTCCTGTGATGAGTTTTAATTTCAACTAAATAGTAAGTTACGCGTGAGTAATTGAGTTTTTAATTTCAACTAAATAGTAAGTTACATGTGAGTAATTGAGTTTTAATTTCAACTAAATAGTAAGTTACATGTGAGTAATTGAGTTTTGATTTCAACTAAATAGTAAGTTACATGTGAGTAATTGACGTTTTAATTTCAACTACATAGTAAGTTACATGTGAGTAATTGACGTTTTAATTTCAACTAAATAGTTAGTTATATGTGAGTAATTGACGTTTCTCTTTGCAGCTCGCTAACATTATACAAGAACAGATTCTAAGAAGAACGAAAGATCAAATTAACAGTATTTATAACAACTTCAAAACTCTACTGTATACCTGCAAATTTGACAACAGGTACATAACATCTCTTATATATCATTCATGTTAAAAGGCCAATTCTTTCTTGAATGATACTCTAATAATATATTTCAACACATGACTCAGCGGGTAACACTATTGTGATGTTAACTTCTAGTATTGAGAAATACTAGCAAACCAAACTCCATTGTTAAAGGAGTAATCAGTGTAATAAATAAAATAATACATAGCTGAGAGGGGATAAAGGCTTTGTTGACTCTAGTTTTATCTTTGTAACAATCTGCGCTATATGCCGCCGCTCAGCTATATGTTTTTATATAAGAACTCAAGGCGTATATCTTACCGTTCGCCTAGTAACAAGCGCTTCTGCACTATAAAACAAAATACGTAAACGAACTAAAATAAGTTAAAGCCGACCTTGTTTGACTTTACTGTTCTCATAGTCCTAGTTTGAGTTGACTGTTCTCATAGACTTAGTTTGAGTTTACTGTTCTCATAGACTTAGTTTGAGTTTACTGTTCTCATAGACCTAGTTTGAGTTAACTGTTCTCGCAAACTTAGTTTGAGTTGACTGTTCTCATAGACCTAGTTTGAATTGGCTGTTCTCATAGACGTAGTTTGAGTTGAATGTTCTCATAGACCTAGTTTGAATTGGCTGTTCTCATAGACCTAGTTTGAGTTGACTGTTCTCGCAAACTTAGTTTGAGTTGACTGTTCTCGTAAACTTAGTTTGAGTTAACTGTTCTCATAGACCTAGTTTGAATTGGCTGTTCTCATAAACTAAGTTTGAGTTGGCTGTTCTCATAGACCTAGTTTGAATTGTCTGTTCTCATAGACATAGTTTGAGTTGACTGTTCTCATAGACATAGTTTGAGTTGACTGTTCTCATAAACCTAGTTTGAGTTGACTGTTCTCGCAAACTTAGTTTGAGTTGACTGTTCTCGTAAAATAAGTTTGAGTTGACTGTTCTCGTAAACTAAGTTTGAGTTGACTGTTCTCATAGTCCTAGTTTGAATTGGCTGTTTTCATACACTTAGTTTGAGTTGACTGTTCTCATAAATCTAGTTTGAGTTGACTGTTCTCATAAACTTTCTTTGAATTGACTGTTCCCATAAGTCTATTTTTATGCAATATGATTAAAATACAAGTTCTATGTCCAGGCATTATTTACAGTACATGAATCTGACAATGCTTCGTTCTACCTTCTGTTCCTCGAGATCCTACTTTTAAAAGTTTGGCTGATGTAATAATCACCAAAGCAGAAAGATTGATTTTTGTGTGTCCACATATTTTACGTAATTGGCGTCTCTAGAAAGCACATTATGAAGACTGAGACACCGCGATTTCGGTTCTTCAATTTTTATGTTATTACATAATTTATCCGTTGCGTTAAATGTTCTGGTCGCCCATTATATATACAATACATAGATATATTGTCGGGATATATCAATTTTACTTGGGAGCGCTTTGCGAAACAGGACGAAAAACGAGACTAGACAAGGTTTTATTCCTTTTGGTAGCGAGTACAATCTTTTCAAATATTTTCCGTCAATTAGCATATATTATTTTGAATCCTGCTATATAAACATTGTAATTTTGCGTTAAGTTATTTTAATTCCAAATTGTTGTCTTTGTTTTTGTTATTTTTGGAAATCGACATGTTGAACGCGTTACCGCGGAGAGGTACCAGTTACTATAACAGTAGTGTTAACAGTTCCATCAGGACTGAAGTAAGATTACTTGATTTGTATAAGACTTAGTACTGATGTTCGTGGTCAATAAAGCAAAAGTTTTGTAGGATAAAAATGTACATGTGTATCTTGTCTTGTGATTTATTTTGCAGGTACGAGATCGTAGACAATACGCTCAAGTCATATTGGAAAGGAGATATATCAGATAAAATCTACAAATATTACAGCGACATGTATGAATTTCCTGTCATAAAATCCATGGTTAGAATTTATTGGTATAATTTTATGAGTATTTGCTTTCTATTTCCTACACATACATATCATTGTCGTCAGGTTTACTGACCCAAGACGGATTTATATAAGGCCCTTTTGCAAGAAAAGCTGTCCACACGGTATTAACTTTACTGTTTTATATTCTCTATTGTTCCGAAGTTTATGAGCCTTATTCGAGGAACACGTATTTTTGACGAAAATCAGTATTGTGCATTTCGGATTTGTTTTGTTATCTTGTTATGTTTTTGTTTTCGTTCGAGTGTTGTCATGAAAACGTAAATCAAAAATCGTTTTACATGAAAATGAACAAAACAATACGCTTAAGGACCGTTTGAACGGATAGACCTAGGTTAGCAATTCAACATGACTGTGCACTGTATTTCACCTTACTGACTTATAAATGTCGAATCAGATCTCTTAAGATGACACAAAAACCATAATTTGCATGATTTGAGGTATTGTCTTATTTCGTATTATGTAATGAGGTCTTACATGATTTGAGGTATTGTATTATTTCGTATTATGTAATGAGGTCTTACAATCTAACCTTCTTCACTGTTTCAGACGACTTTTACAAAGTTGGGATACCTGATTCATCTTCAACCACCAACCATATTATATTGTAAACTCAGAAGTGACGACAAAATTGAAATTATATTCCAGAACTCTAGCTATGGTAAGCAATTTACTTGAACTGTAATGTCCCCAGATTAATTTGATGTTTGTCAACTCTAATTTTGATATGTATCTTTTTGTAAGCTGCTGTACAAAGACTTGTATTTAGGAAACAATGGTTGTCTTATGTCATATTTAATGATTTAGATGTTGACATATAACTGCATGAACACATGTCTTTTGCTTAACATTGCGTGTTGCTATGTTGATCTCTTGTTTATTTTTGTCGTTTGGATTGCTGTCTATTTGGCGAATACCCCGCAGCTCCTTTTACCTATATTTAAAGTTGAAAAAACATTTATTTACTGAACAGCTTTAACAAACTGGCCTGAAGAATTGACCAATTCAGATGTATAATGGCTTTAAATATATGATTGAACATCGGTTGAATTGACTAAGACCGTCTATTTATAGCCTGGATTGATAGCATTCTGTCTGATCCCGTCCGTGTTGTTTTACTTTGTTCCTTATTATCGGACATTTACCGCGAGCAGCTGGACCGGTGCCAGAGTGGAGCAGTAATGATAGTAATCGCATATCTTTATGGAGAACTTCAAAAATCTGTTGATAATTTGTGTAAGAATTTTATATACCCTCTATTATATTCAATTAACAAAAGTTTTAAAGATTTTCAAATTTTGACCCTGTGTGTTAAAATATACAAGGGAAATCAGCCCAGCCTCTTTTAAACATAAAACAAAACACAAATTATACCAGATGTATATTAGATTTTATGATAAAAACCTATTTCAATTTTTATGCCCCACCTACGATAGTAGAGAGGCATTATGTTTTTCGGTCTGTGCGTCCATTCGTCCGTCCGGCCTTCCGTTCGTTCGTTCGTCCGTCCATTCGTCCGTCCGTCCGTCCGTCCGTCCGTCTGTCCCGCTTCAGGTTAAAGTTTTTGGTCAAGGTAGTTTTTGATGAAGTTGATGTCCAGTCTACTTGAAACTTAGTACACATGTTCCCTATGCTATGATCTTTCTAATTTTAATGCCAAATTAGAGTTTTTACTCCAATTTCACGGTCCACTGAACATAGAAAATGATAGTGCGAGTGGGGCATCCGTGTACTATGGACACATTCTTGTTTAAGTTAAAACTAGTTAAGCGTTTCGCCTGCAGGAGGTAGAAGGTACCGGTATGACACAAAACTGATATAATTATTCACACCAATGAACATCTAAATTGAAATATTAGTAATATGCTTTATTCTTACTCATATACGATTTATTTTTAGGACGGCTTTTCCCTTCATCAAACTGTAAACACCAATTAAGTTACAAGTTACAGGAAAAAGGATTTATTAAAGAGAAGCAAGGTATCATGGCTTATATACAAGTTCTAATTTTTGTGGTACTTATTTAACATGCTGTTTTAAATTTCTTTCAAGGCAAACACTTGTACTTTTCATTTGTTCCTTATTTCTGATTGATTGATCGATTGATGTTTGCTTAACGTCCAGTGGCAAATATTCCATGCATGTTCAGGTGAGAGCAAAATAACAATTAAAACAATAGGTAGGTCCTGTAATAGAGGCTGTCCGGGATGAAGGCCAAGGAAATTTGGACTGCCACTGGAAAGTGAGGGTATATTGGATAGGAACCGAAATTTTGCCTTGCAACGGCCCACAGAGAGTTGTGACAAGGCTTCTTAACTTGCCGAGAGCATGACACACTCTTTACACGAGTCATCAGATTAAACGTCCCAATTCTTACCGGACGTCATCATATCTGCGACTTGCTTTCAACCGCCATCTGTATTACGACATACTATAACGATAGTTGATAAGTCTAACTATAACATGATGGTTATCTAATTTTGTCTTTTGTTTTTTCATCTTTGTTTTCTTAAAATCAATTAAAAATGATATACGTGAAGTTTTCGACACTATATATACATAAACCACCAGAGTTTGTGTTATAATGTATGATTGTTGCAATAATCACGTGTCACAAGTATAATTATGTATACTTAGATCTATGACAATTAAAACTTGTTATAGTGCAACTAGTTATGTTTATTTCCTAAATATAGTAACAAAGCAATATTTGGTACAATGTCAATTTCATCATTGATCACTTTTTCCACAATCAGAGGTTCATTTGGGGATGAAAATAAGTTTGAAATTTGTGTTACAATTCAAATAGCTGGCAATGTATTAATTTAAGTTGCAGTATAAAACAATATTAGGTCAATGTCAGAAAAATATAAACTTTTTTGTATTCGGCACAAAACTGTGGAAGAGCTCGGTAAAACCTCGCCTTTCCCTAGTTTCTCAGCCTCATACAAAAAAGTTTATATTTTTCTGACATTGACCTTAAATTGTATATATTTATTATTTTTTTCAGATGTCAGTGTAAAATGTAAGCTATGGCTTTTAGCCAGGACAGTTGGCTTTGGATGGTACAGGAAATATTTTATAGGAAAGAAAAGATGGGGAATATTTAGCAGCCTAGAATCATTAGATTTAATTTCTTAGTGTTTTGGGGAATAAAGTTAATGTACAACTAGCGTTTTTTTTTTTTTTTTTTGAAAACCGTGTACCCATAATACATTCCCATGAGCTTGAAAATATCATCAAATAATGTATTAACCTGTACAGAATGATATGCATACTGATATTAAAATACTTACACCAGTCTAAACTTGAAATTTTTTATACTTGATATCACTTGTAGAAGAAGTACAAGATTTACAACACACCACATCCTGAAATCAGAACTTTTGCCGAATGAGATAAAGAAGTACTCTCTACTACACTCGATTACGACTGGCTAAAATAAAAATAAGAAGATGTGGTATAAATGCCATTGAGACTACTCTCCACCAGAGACCAAATGACGTAGATGTATCTTCTCAAGGGAACCAATCCCGTTACACATTCCCACCTTCAGACTCTTCACACTACACAACATGGCCAGATTAAATAACCGTTTGTGGCATGTCCAATGACTAATATTTTGTGTATATTGTACGACTTTGCCCCCAGCAGAGCTATAGAAAAACAGTACATTAACGGGTGTTACATGGACACTTTTTAGATGATACACGGACACTTTTTAGTTGTTACACGGACACTTTTTATGAATAGAATCACTCGTGCATGATCAGTGAGTTCATGGGCACTTTAAATTTCAATTAGATTTGAACTTTTTGTTTCACCGACATATTCCCTGTCTTTTTTATTAAAATATTTACGTTGGCATCAATAACTATAATATTTTTTCAAACAATTCCTGTATATTACCATTCATATCAGTACACTAAGGGATTGACCATTTAACTTCAAAAGGGGTGTTATGGTTTTTCCCTAAAAAAAATATTCTGATCCCAAATTTTATGAGAAAAAATATATTGTGGTCAAGCAGATGACAAAATATTGTTCTGATTCCTGATTGTTCGAATACCGTATATAATAGTGCTAATTTCGACAAAAAAAATATTTGGGTGATAGCGTTGAAAAACTAAATAATTCTCTTACTCAGAAAAAAACATACCCCCTTTTGAAGCTAAATGGTCGGTCCGTAAATGTATTTTTTTCAATATATGGACATGAATAGTATTCAGGACAATGCCGAAAGAAAAGAAATGCTGGTACCGACGTTTATATTTCAATAAAAAAAGACAGAAAATATATATAAAAAAAATCAAATCTCATCAAAATATAAAATCCCTATCAACTCACCAATGCACGCTTGATCCTATAAATAAAAAGCGTCCGTGTAATACATGTTCAAATAGGTAGCGAATCTTGAAGAAAATCATTCAACTTATTTCACCAATTGAGGGACGGTAAGCTGCGATTGGATCATATTGTGACACGTGTCTAATTCTGATCAACACCATTAAAGACATATAAAAACCTATAAGCATGAAATTTTAAAAATAAATCCAAAATTTATGCCTATATTCTAATATATATCTAATAACAAGACAAAATCCATTTTTTAATAACATTCCATACACTAATGAAAAAGGAAATTCATTATTTTCATACATTTATATTGTTATTGAATTAATATATAATGAATTCATATATTTGGGAGCAAACATACGATTTTTATTATTTTTTAAGGGGGGAATGGAATGGCACATCCTGCATTTTTTCAACAAAGAAAGGATCAAGCCTGTTTATTTTAAATTTATTTTAACCCCCACCCCCCCTTTTCCGTTTTCCCCAAATAAAAAAAAAATGTTAGCTTGCTTACCTCTGAAATGTTTTTCATACATTACTTACTTGCGAAATTACATTTTAAAAAGTCTCAAATGTGTACGACATTCATCTTTTACTTGACATGGTTGGTTTTTTTTTTATAAAATTATCAGATTCTTGAATTTTTTGAGAAAAAAAACTCTCGGCTGAAGGGAAGTGAAAAAAAAATTGTTTAATCTGTAACTTACATTAACTGGTATATGGCCATTTAAGTTTCTAATCTGTTTAATTTTGCTACCTCTTCTAAATGCAAAATGTACTACTTCTTTCTTGAAACGTCGTACAAGTCAGATACAAAACAAAGGTAACAAAATAACAGGCCGGAAACAAATTACCGTATAGTTCTTCTGCACTTGTAGTCAGGTCAAGGTCCTCGGCTTTCGCCTCGGACCTCCACCTGACTACTCGTGCAGAAAAACTATCCGGCAACGTTTGTTACCGGCCTGTTTCTTTGTTACCTTTGTATTGTATCTAATACTTAATGACACGAGAACAATTTAACAATTAATACAATAAGTATATGTTTTGCAAGGTTAATAGGTCGAAATTCATCTAAGGAATTTAGACTCTCACTGGAAAACTAGGATAACTTGGAGAGAGTTCACATGTTTTCCTTGTAACAGGCTGCCTACGGACCCCTCGTAGAGTTTTTCCAAGGATTCTGTATCGCACAAAGAGAGTTGCACTCATTGGCTATAATGATAACTATATCAACTAATTCACTCATATCAAATCTAACCACCATATAAAAATAAGAAGATGTGGTATGCTAGCCAATGAAATAACTCTCCACTAGTCTATTAGCGACCAAATGACGTAGAAGTTAACAGCTATAATAGGTCACCGTACGACCTTCATGGTTTTACTTGAATGTATTATGACGTTGAAGTTAACAGCTTTAATAGGTCACCGTACGGCCTTCATGGTTTTACTTGAATGTATTATGACGTAGAAGTTAACAGCTATAATAGGTCACCGTACGGCCTTCATGGTTTTACTTGTATTATGACGTAGAAGTTAACAGCTATAATAGGTCACCGTACGGCCTTCGTAGTTTTACTTGTATTATGACGTAGAAGATAACAGCTATAATAGGTCACCGTACGGCCTTCGTAGTTTTACTTGAATGTATTATGATGTCAAAGTTAACAGCTATAATAGGTCACCGTACGGCCTTCGTAGTTTTACTTGAATGTATTATGATGTAGAAGTTAACAGCTATTATAGGTCACCGTACGGCCTTCGTAGTTTTACTTGAATGTATTATGGAGTAGAAGTTAACAGCTATAATAGGTTACCGTACGGCCTTCATTGTTTTACTTGAATGTATTATGACGTAGAAGTTAACAGCTATAATAGGTCACCGTACGTTCTTCGTGGTTTTACTTGAATATATTATAATGTAAAAGTTAACAGCTATAATAGGTCACCGTACGGCCTTCGTAGTTTTACTTGAATGTATTATGACGTAGAACTTAACAGCTATAATAGGTCACCGTACGGCCTTCGTAGATTTACTTGAATGCATTATGACATAAAAGTTAACAGCTATAATAGGTCACCGTACGGCCTTCATTGTTTTACTTGTCCGAATGTATTATGACATAGAAGTTAACAGCTATAATACGTCACCGTACGGTCTTCGTAGTTTTACTTGAATGTTTTATGACGTAGAACTTAACAGCTGTAATAGGTCACCGTACGGCCTTCGTAGTTTTACTTGAATGTATTATGACATAAAAGTTAACAGCTATTATAGGTCACCGTACGGCCTTCATGGTTTTACTTGAATGTATTATGAAACAAGTAATACTCTCTGTAATTGAACCATTTGTATTATATGAAGTCAAGATGACGTCAAAAATGACAGAAGCCTAAATTGTTGGTGAATGAATTTGAAATAATGGTAAAATGTGAAATAATTAAAATATTGAGGCGTTCAAATCTCGGAAGTCGATTAGAAATAGACACACCAAGGTAACAAAACACTTAAAGGAGCTAGACATGGTGCGTCGACGGGGTAAGCTTCTCATATAAGATCTAGACAACTAACGGACTGATTTATGACATAACATTAAATGAATAAAATATTATAACAGACAGCAACAAAAGATAACCCCTGAATTAAAGGCTCCTGGCTAAAGCTTATTTTAATTTCTCATGTAAGAATTTATCTCCAACTTTGATAAATATAAATGGGTTCAGAAAATAATCGTTTTTGACAACGTCATCACTACATTTATCTACTTTTACTAGTTTTTGATTGATCAACTATTTGTTGTTTGACTGATTGATGTTTTTGCACAATACCAGCAGACAGTATTTCAATGATAGCCAGGTCGAAACCAGTTATTATTATTTCTTTTTATAACAATATTAGAATTTTTTTTCACTAACATGGTTCAAACTATTCTGTATAGCAATATACAAAACTTGACGGTAGTTTAATTGAGAAGGACAGAGAGAATAAAATATGTAGGTAGATTGATATATTTTTATGAAATGATTTATTGATATTTATTTTGTATTCTATTTCCGTCTTACTTTTCCGTGTTTGTTTAATCGAGGTGCACAATAAAAAGTTTTATAAAGAAGGGTCCACACAAATCTCTAGTTGTAAACATATCTGCATCGGACCACATAGATTTTATGAACTTCTATGTCGTTTAGTCTCGGCTGGAGAGTTGTCTCATTGGCAATCATGGTTATTACCAAATATTGTTAATTTCATATGTCTGCAGCAGAACACAGAACTCTTATGAACATGTCTGCAGCAGAGTATAAGAGTTCTTATAAAATGTCTTCATCGGACCACAGATGTCTGAAGCGGAATACAGAGTTCTTATACAGTCCTCACTGTGACTTTGAGATGAAGAACAGCAATAAAAGCGCTGTTCCTTTGCTGTGCATGTACAGATTTTGTGTCATGGATGGATACCCCATATCCATTGTTTTTCTATTATTTATATATATTTTATATATATGACCATGACTTTAGCAGAAGAGAATTTTGAAGAACATGTCTAAAGCGCCAATAGAATAATTGTAAACATTTTTGCAGCGAAACACAGTTCTTGTGACTATGTCTGTTTTGGAACACAGTTCTTGTGACTGTGTCTGTATTGGAACACAGTTCTGGTGACTGTGTCTGTAAGGGAACACAGTTCTGGTGACTGTCTGTATGGGAACACAGTTCTGGTGACTGTGTCTGTATGGGAACACAGTTCTGGTGACTGTGTCAGTATGGAAACACACTTCTAGTGACTGTGTCTGTATGGGAGCACAGTTCTGGTGACTGTTTCTGTATGGGAACACAGTTCTGGTGACTGTGTCAGTATGGGAACACAGTTCTGGTGACTGTGTCTGTATTGGACTACAGTTGTGGTGACTATGTCTGTATTGGAACACATTT